CAAACATTGCAAATGAGACTTTGGATGATTGCCCAGGTAGCCAATTGTCTCTTTGAAAGCTACTTGATTGTACTTCCTGCCTACTCAAGTAATATGATCTCCCTTCTCAGGTCCTCAATAGGGTTGAAGACTAGATAATTTATAGTGTTTTCCTCTCATGACTTACCCAAGCCATTTCTAGTAGAATACTTATACTCCTTAGGATAAAATAATCATTAAAACATTTAACATATGTTTTTGCTTAATGTTGTCTATGCTGGTTGTAATCCTAATTTTCCTATTGTATATAGGCCTATACTGGGATTTAAGTTATTTTATTTAGAGAAAAGATAGAGGTAATGGACAACCTCCTTCAACCAATGATCTTTGAGAGGCTGGACCAGGTTGAGTGAGGCTTTGGTTATCAAAAGGTGTGTGCCCTTCACTCTTTCTTTCTATTTCTGCTCTCACTTCTGGATTCTGGATCCTGTTCCTGTTCCCCATTGTGATCTGTTAGTTCTCCCTTAAAAAAAAAAAACACTTATTATGCCCTATTCATACCTAGTATGAGATTATTTTATTTTCATTCCCTTTCATCCGGCACATGCCCTTCACTTTGGTACTAGTAATGGCCAGTATATGGAACTAGTCTACATGCTTACTAAGAATGGATAAAGAATTGGTTATATATACATGACAGAGTTGTATTTGGACATAAATAATGAAATGAAATAATTTGCTGGACAATTAATGGAACTAGAAATCATCACACTAAGTAAAATAAGCCAGGATCACTCGTTCAAAAAGTAAATATTGCATTCACTGTTACATATGAAGGTGTACATGTTTTATATGTATATGCTTGTGAGAGAATGAGAGAGTGGAGAAGGGGGGGCGGGAAGAGAGATATGGGAGGGAGGGAGAATGGCACAGGAAGATAAAGGGAAAAAGTAGAGACAAAGTATTTTATGCTTTAATTTTGGAAAGAAAGAGACATATGAAAACACAAGGGGGATTATTTGGAGAAGAGAGACCAGAAATGAAAAGAGAAAGAAAAATGAATTGTTAAATTGTAATAAATACAGCAAATGAATCATTGTGCTTGCACTAATTTAGTTTCAGGTTTACCTCTATTCTAGTTGCAATAAACATGCCAAGTTTCCAGCTACTATTGGTGGCTTTGCATTAGAGTATATATCCCACCTTTCCCTAGCTTTTCTCTGTATGTCTGTCATTTCTTCATCACCTGTTGCCCCAGTCTAGTCAACTCCAAAGCCATAGAGGCCACAGCGTTCCACCTTCCATATGGGTCCTGAATCTCACTACTGATGTGAGATACCCTTCTATATGCTGTGAAAATGGTTTATTATCATTAATTAATAAAGACGCTGATTTGGCCAATACCCTGGCAGGATAGAGCCAGGTGGGCAATCCAAGCATATATAAAGAAAAAAAGTAGGCAGAGTCAGAAGACACAAGCATATGCCAGAGAAGCAAGATATGAGGTAACAAGTCATGAGTCTCATGTTAAAATATAGACGATTAGAAATTTAACTTTTAAGAGTTAGTTAACAATAAGCCTGAGCTAATAGGCCAAATATTCTGTAATTAATAAAAGTGGCTGTGGGACCAGGCAAGACAAGAAATACCCAGCTACACATTACTTTTTCTCCTTCTTTCAAGACAAACTGCTTCAATTAACAACAAAAATAGCTACAGAATTTTGGATCATTACTTTTCTATAATCATTGTAAATACACATTTTAAAAATCTCTTTTTAGAGTAATTTGTATTGAGGAGGGAAGCAGGCCTGCTTTTCATCCCGCCTGGCTCCCACACAGCTAGCTTTACACCCAAAATAACAACACACAAATTGTATTCATTTAAACACTGTCTGGCCCATTAGCTCTAGCCTCTTACTGGCTAAGTCTCACATCTTGATGAACCCATTTCTATTAATGTGTGTAGCACCACGAGGTGGTGGCTTACTGGGAAGATTCTAACCTACGTCTGTCTTGGGCCGGAGCTTCATGGCATCTACCTGCCTCTGCTTTCTTTCTCCTACAATTCTGTTCTGTCTTCTCCGCCTACCTTTGTTCTGACCTTTCAGGCCAAGCAGTTTTCTTTATTAATTAACCAATGAAAGCAACAGATAGATAGAAGACCCTCCTATAGCAGTAATTATTAGTCTATTTCTGTATTAAGTCTTTAACTCTCATCTACTTATCTATTTATCTATCTGCCTATCATTCTGTCTGTCTGTCTGTCTGTCTGTCTGTCTACCTGTCTATCTACCTACCAATCTATCTACCTGCATACTTACATAGATTTTGCCCCAATTTTTCTGTTTTCTATAAAATGAATATCCTACTTAGGGTTACTTTTGGTGTAATGAAAAACCATGTCCAAAAGCAACTTGGAAGGAAAAGGGATTATTTGTTCATGGCTTCCATATCACAAAGCAGTAAGGGCAGCAACTCAAGGTAGGAACCTGGAGGCAGGAGCTGAAGATGAGGTCACGGCAGAGTGCTGCTTATTGGCTTGTTCCACATAGGCTTCTCAGCCTGGTTTCTCAAAGATCCCACGACCACCAGCTCAGGAATGGCATTACCCATGGTGAGCTGGGGCATCTCCTTAAATCGCTCATTAAGGAAGTACCCACAGGCTTGCTTGCAGCCTGACCTTATGAAGTCATTTTTTTAAAAAAATGTTTTTTTCTCTCAGATGATTTTAGCTTGTTTCAAACTGACATAAAACTATACAGCACAATCCACTCCATGTCAACTTGACACATAACATGTCACTGTTAAGCCACACCTTCTTTCCTTTCTCATTCATCCTCAAGATATCATGTAGAGGCAGATGGATTTCTGTGAATTTGAGGTCAGTTTGGTCTACAGAGCAAGATGCAGGACAGGTAGGACTACACAGAAAAACCCTGTTTAAAAATACCAAAAGATAAAAGAAACACACATTAAAAACATCAAGAACTTTAACAGTCCCATAGTCTTTACTAATTTAAACACATTAAAATTTTAGTCCCTTTAAATTTCCAGTAGTTTTAAAAATTCAAAATAATTTTTAAAATTTAAAATCTCTCAAATGTGTCTTCTTGCAAAAATCAAAATTAGGTTAAATACTTTCTTATTTAATAAGGAAAGAACGGGTGTATAATCACAATCAGGTCAAGGTAAAACCTATGTAAATTACACAATGTCCAAATTCTGGGATCAACTGTTTTCCGTGCTCCTCTCAAGTGTTTGGATCCCCTCTCTAGTTCTTTCCTTTAAAGCACACATATTTTGTCCCATGTTAGTGACATCCACAGAATGCTAGATTCTTCTGCTGCAACTGGCTAGCACTTTCACCCATAACCTCTCTTGCATGTTCTGCATAGTTCCTTGCCTCAACTTCTCTCTACGACTCCTTTAATCCCAGGTGTTCAACTTCTACTGAAGGTGCACCTTCACCAATGGCCTCTTCTGGCCTTTATCAGTGCCAAGCCTCAACTGCTCTCATGACCCCTTGACCCTTACACTATGAAGTTCAGATACCAAGATAAAGTGCAACCTTGGCTGACCCTGAAACACAGCTTCTTTACTAGTTCTGTTATCTTGTTAATCTTAGGTGGTTCTTCCACCCCAAGAATCCAGACCATAGAACCTTAATTCAAAAATAACAAATGACCCCGATAATAACTTTAAACATCTCTCTGAAACTTCAGAAACCAGGCCTCCATCATCAACATTGCTCTCAACATACTTATATTCCAAGTTCCAATAAAACAGCTCACTTTGTTCTAAACACTCAATGCCCAAATTTCTAGAGTTCTTCCACAATACTGCCCCCTGCCAAAGGGGGAAAAAGCATGGTCAGGTCTCTCACAACAATACCCCACTATCCTAGACACTTGTCACTTGTCTTAGGGTTTTTATTGCTGTGATGAAACACCATGACTAAAAGCAACTTGGGAAGTAAAAGGATTATTTTCCTCACAGCTCCATATAACAAAGCAGCAAGGGCAGGGACCAGGAGGCAGGAACTGATACAGAGGCCGAGGGTGGGTGTTGTTTACAATTGCTCTTCTTAGTTGGCTCAGTTAGAATGCAGAACCACAAGCTGAGGGAGGCACCACTCACAATAGGTTGGGTCAGACCCCATCAATCATCAATTAAGAAAATGCCCTGCAGGCTTGTCTCCTGCCTGATTTTATTTGAGGTTCCCTCCTCCCAGAGGACTTACCTTATGACAAACTGACGTTTGTCATAAGTTTACAGCATGATTTAACCTCCAGGTTTCTAAATCAGGATTTTATTGACACTGTAAGAAAAACAACTTTTAAAGAAAATTAGTAACATGTTGATGACACCAACTACACTGATGTAAATAGAAACAGTATCAGTATTCCATGTCTTCCTAAATCCTAAACCTTAGTTAGACTGTAAATAAAAATAAATTTTTGGGTTACTTTTAATTCATTCCATTCACCCAAACACTAGATTTTGATACTATGCTTAATCACTTTTTAGTCAGGCTATAAAGACATATGTGATTTCCACCAATACATTATAGTTTTGATGATACCACAATTTATATTTAAAATACCATAGCACACCTACTTTTTCTATGCTTTTCTAGGTAGTCATGTTTATCAAAAGCACTGTAGTCTCCATCCATAAACACACAGCATGGAAAAATAGAAAAGAGAATTTCAATATCAATTTTATCATCAAAACATCTCCTTAACATTGGAAAATATAAATTATAAATAGTTCAAATATGAAAGAAATATAAAAGTTATCTTTTTGGTGAGAAACACTATTTTGTGAGTACATAAAATGTCAAAAGTCATAGAGTTCTCATTTACATTTACAAACACTGGGGATGGATGCTTAGATCAGTTGCATGGCGCTCAGAATCAACAGAAACCTTAAAATGATTTCAAGCTTTGTGCATCTTTAAAGGAAATTCAATGAAAGTCCCAAAAACAAAATCATTAAGAGTTCTTTTTGTTTTCACAGGGTCCAAGTTTTCTCTCTGAAGCCATTTTTCCTAAACATGCAATCAAAATTGAAGAAGTTGATCCATCTTTCAGCTTCCATGAAGCCATTACTAAGGTGAGAATGCCTCTGCATCTTACAAGTAAAGTTCTTGTATGTTGTTGTTGTGTTTCTTTGTTTTAGGGAGGTGTATGATAATGTTTGTTTGGGGGAGGTGAAGAGAGAAAATAATCGGTCAAGAGAATGTTCTTTAAGTAGTAAAGATGATAAGAGATAAAAATCTTTCAAAATATAGCTTGTGACTGAGGATTTATAAAAAATATCAATCCTCAATAAAACAATTTGCTTTTGCTTTTAATCTGAAATTGTTTGTCTTTTATTTTAAATGCATGGCTACTTCAGATGATCATAAAAAATAGGTTGTCTAGCTTTTCCATCCAAAGTTTTGTTTTAATATATTTACTTATTAAACTTCTGATTGTTTAATTTGTGTGCATATGGGTATGTGACATATGAGAATGCACAGGTGTCACTGTGTCCTTTTGGAGAGTAAAATGGTAACTTTTAGTTCTTTCTTGCTGTCTTCCATGTTGTCCTGGATATGAAGCTTGAGCTGTCAGGCTTGGCAATTGATGCCTTTACCCTGAGTCACCTTACTCCAAAGAAGGGTTTGCTCTCTCAGGTGAAGGACCACATTTACAAGGAATATTTCCACTGTGTATTTTTGGCATAATTTCATTATTTGAAGAAAACTAAGTTTTCCAGTGTGGAGAAATAAATTTATGGTTCCTGATATCAAATGGCGTTCTATGAATTTTTACGTTTACAATTATTTATCTAACCTGTCAAAGCCTGCCTCTTCAGGATAGACTTTGCAGGATATATTGATATTTCAGTGCCATTAAAATAATCAATATTTATATATGCTTGCTAGAATAATTTAATCATCTAAATCTTAGCAAAATGTGACAAACTGTTTTTATTCTTCACAAAGTGAACTGTGGTAAACTGACCCAACCCCGGCATCTGACCAAAGAAAAAGCTTAAAATTCAGAGATCTGTCTCCTGATGTCTAAGAACTATGTACATTTATTTTTGAACCTCCAAAAATAAGTGAAGCTTGAATTACAGTCTGCATAAAATTTTTCTAAGCTCATAATACTTACCATGTTTTCTTTAACAATCAACTCTAGTTAGCTGAATTCAGTTTTACTCCTTTCTTTTTATTCCATATTATTATTATTTATATAAACTAGAGAAAAGGTATCACCAAGTACTTCCTCAGCATTTGAAATATTAGCTATATTTCTAACAGTTAGAGATTATATATCTATCTTACACAAAAGGTTATATATGCATGTACTAATGAAGATAAATGAATCTAAATGGATATTTAGATATATTTTCCTCTTTATATATAAATGTGCATATGATATTTACTTAAAAGTCTGGGTACTTAGTCTGCATTTATTTTTTTAAGTTAAGAATTAGAGGACTGTAAAATGATAAAATAATATTTTTGTATATTTCTTGCCCTCTGCTGATTTTGGAAATCAAGGACATTTGTGAAATAGCAGCTTGAGGCAGCATCGATGTCAGATACCCAATAAGATGGCATAACTGATGAAACCTCCAGAGACAAAAGTGCTTTACTTAAGAACATGAATACATGCTTGTTGTAGGTGACTGTTTGTTCCTGGCTGCTCAGCCATCAAATAATCACGCAGACTATATTATTTAAAGTACTGCTTGGCCTATTAGCTCTAGCTTCTTATTGGCTAGCTCTTATATCTATATTTAACCTATTTCTATTAATCTGTGTATCGCACATAGTTGTGTCTTACCAGCAAGTTTCTGGCTTATCTATTCCTGGTGGTGGCTACAAGGTGTCTCCTTGAATCCACCTTCTTTCTCCCAGCATTCAGTTTAATTTCCCCTGTCTAGCTCTACTCTCTCCCATTATAGGTCAAGGCAGATTCTTTATTCATTAATGGTAATCACAGCATACAGAAGGGACTCCAACATCACATGCTGATTCCAAGTAGCTCAGGGCTTCACTGTACAAAAGAAATAGAACTGCTGAATTTCTTTAGGAAGAGATGGGTGAGTAAACAGGGGCCATAAACACAGCCTGTATACCTACATATGTTTAGAATTCCTAAATTCACATTGCAAACATCGATGAATGGGAAAAATTATAATTCTGGAGTTCATTCTTAAATAACAAATAGCAGTAATGGGGATCTGTACAGGGAAATAATTACTATTATGTGCCTTGATGCTAAGATCTAGTTCTTCATCATTAACAGCAACAAAAACACTTGTCAAATGTGGATGCATTAAGCATAACACGTAGAAATACAGAGCAAAGGTTGTTATTTTATTAAGCCTAGCCAATCTTAATATTTTAAAAATTAATTTTGTTTTATTATTTACACAAAATGGAAGAAACTCAGTTATCTATTCTCACTAGCAATATGAGGCCAAAAGGAATGATGTTAGCATTTTCTTAACAAATTTGATATGCTTGTGATCAAGTACATATTAATATTAAAATTTAAAGATCTAACTTCTTTAAATAAATTTATTTATCTGTGTTTTCTGAATTGTGATTATATGTAAGGGTAAAAAAATAGTCCTCTATTGTCTTTCTATGTATCTAGTTATCATTTGTAGCTTATAGATACAGAAAAATATATAGATATTAAGTATAAATTATGGGTTTTGAAGAATGAAGGTTGTCAATATTGTATCAGTAAGTGGACTGATTACTGTGTGTCATCAATGAAAATTATACATAGCAGTGTGATGGTTAAAAATAACACTCGTCTAAATTAAGAAACAGATATATAAACATATGATTATTTACTAATTATCACAAAATGATAATGAGATAAAAGGGATAGTAGATAAATTACAAGACAAGGTTTTAAATACTATTATGTAACATGAGTAGTGAAAGGGAAATTAGTCATTATTGAAGTATTTTCAAGATATTGAGTGCAAGAGCAGTTTCTAAGATTCATGTCTTAAGTTTTTCTAGTCAGAGTTTATTTTCACACAGTACTGATAAAAGAGTTAATGGTGTGTTAGTACCTGTAAAACAATAATCACCATCTCCCAACAAGCAACTATTTGCATTTTAGATCATTGCTAAAGAACGCAAATGTATTTTATATCAACATAAATTGTCTATGTACTAAGAAGTTAGCTGTTTGTGATTGGTGTTTTTCTGCCTCTACCCTATACTTTAAAATAAACCAGTTATCTCCATACATGCTGTATAAATGGAATCTTGAAAGTGTTTTGTTTAAGGCTTTAGTTTTCAATGTTTGAATCTTTCTTGGCATTTTTCTTTTTGATATAAACCACAAATCCCTAGAAAGTAACGAAGGAGACCCTATACTGATGTCAAAAGGAGTAATTATGGCTTCAGCTATCAAGGGCTAGGTAAAATGGGCAAAGAGAGACACATGCTGCAGTGGGTGGTGAAGAAGCTTTTCCTACTCTCCATTGCCTTTGTCTTACAAATCACATTTCAGTTTTTTAGTTATCATAAAAGTTAAACTAATTTCCTCAAAGACTAAAACATGAACAAGGAGAAATCCTACCTACTTAACCCTTTAGTAAGCACATAAAAATCATCATGTTCCTAACATTTTAAATAATTTTCTTTCTCCTTCTACAGTTTTTCCAAATTTTTAACAACTGTAATGGTCTATCCTACCCTTTTAAGAGTCAAGGCCCCCTGCTACTTCCCCCATTTTCGTCCATTGCTGAGGCAGGCAGATCTTCCTTCTGCTTCCAGTCTGAGCCCTTCCTTTTTTTGTCTCTCTCCCAAAGAGGTAGCTGCTGCTCTGGCTCCCCCTCCCTTTTCTTTCTTCATTCCCCTTCTTCCCACCTCTCGCCTTCATTTCCATAACTTACTAAATAAATATCCAACCTCACTCTGCATGGCATGCCATACCTATCCATCTTAGTATCTCACTGACCATGTGGCTCCTTGCCTGGGACCTGCTCCTTGCCTGGGACTGGCTGGCTTCCTGGCCCGCCATGGTCTCAGGGCCCCCTGCCCACTGATGCACTTGAAGATCTGCAGCGTTTTTGTTTTTACCATTACAACAGTTATCTCACAAACTGTTATTAACTACCAGGACATTCCTGTTCATTGGCAATAGTTCATTCAAGGGAATACATAGATCATTTTAATGTTGCATGCCCAAGGAAAGAGTTAATGACTTTCTTTACATTAAGGGTAAAATGTAGATTCAAAAGCAGAAGAAGAAAATCCCATATGAGATGGTTGCTACACTGCACATTCTCAACACAGGAAAAGAACAGACCAGAATATATAACGAATCATTCACCAAGGAAGGGGCATTCAAGGAATGTAAGGCATTTACCTCCATTATTCTGAGATTCATTGAAGGTGATTTAAATTAGATGTTGGTAACAATCTGTGAAAAGCACTGATACATACCTTAAAAAATAAGGCAAATTTGAGAAACTATCTTAAAAATGACAATCAGCAAGGACAGCCTGTTCTACAAATAAAGTTCCAGGAAAGCCAGGGAACTGGCTATTACCGCGCCAGCAAGGTCTGGAACCACGAGTCTCGGCGGAGGGTGTCCAGGTTGAATGAAATCCACAGAGCACGAGGTTGAGGTGAAACAGCAGCTCGTTTATTGTTCTGCTGGGGCTAGCTTTTATACCATGGCACCAAATGGGGAAGGGGCTGTGAAGGGAATGTCACCTGACCCAAGGAGGAACTCTTACCTGACCCCAGTAGGGGTCAAGGACTGATCACATGCACTCCACCTTCACCTGTCCCCAGTAGGGACTGTCACCTGACCCCAGCAGGGATCAAGGAATAATCACGTGCACTCAAACTTCCTCATCCAACTCCAGGAGCAGAGGGAAGTTAAGATTCTTTGCAGATAAGCACCTCAAATGGGGGCAGGGAAATATAACTCGGGGTAGCAATTCCCACAGGCTATTGTTAGACAGAAAAACTGTCTCAAAACAAAAATGACCATCAAGTTGTAGGGAATGAGACATAAACAGAGTCTGGATAGTAGGTATTCTACTAGTTTTGCCTAAGCAAAGTGAGACGAGTG